GAAAAACAACACAAGCCAATCCACTAATGCTTTCCCAAACATAACCCACACTTGCTCTCAATCTTAGCATTTAATGCAATCGTGCCTATTAGTGATGGGTTTAGGAAGTGAAAATGCATTTGGTGGTTTGGATGTACAAACATGGGTGATGAACGAAATAAGCAATATGGCTCAAAGGGGGTAAACAAATGATGAATTTTCTTTTCAAGGGCTAGCTTCAAAGGCCCAATCGATCCGAATAAAATGCCTTAATCATCTCTCCAATGATACTAAACCAACAATTTTGCCTCAAGTTTTACTCAAATGGGTTCTAGTGTTGATGAGATATCAAAGTCTACCTAATGCACATAAATGTTCTCCAAATGCTCACAAGATCAAGTGATCATGATTCATGGTGCTCAAAAGTAGAGAATCAAGAGTGAATTTCAATCAATGCGAGTTAAGCACACAGAAATCTCAATGAAATACATTTCGAAAGACCTAAGAAAGCATCAAGTGACTATACTCATCATTATTATCTAGTCATTTCATCTCAACAAAACTCACAATTTATTCAAACAACCTAAAAGAAAAGTGAGTAAAAACATGGCCAAAAGAACACAACTCAATGGAGACAAGTCATAACAACCAACTCACAAGTAATGCTCAAAATCCACTAAAATCAACCACAAAGTGTCTCGCCCCTAAACTCAAAATCAAACAATCATTAAAATTAAGAACAAGGGAATAAGAACACGTACCGGGGAGGCAAGACAATCTCGCCTCCTAGTAAGGTTGGCGATGATGCACCAGGCATGATGGCATAAACTCGAGTTGGGGCGGGGCTCTCCTCCATAAATTGCGTCTTCAGGCTTAATTATTCCTATGCCGAGCCAACTCGTCAAAGAGTGGCTTTCGCCCATAGTATGTGTCATACAACATGACGTACGAGTTTTGATTCTTGACGTCCTCAAGCTTGGCAGGATATGGAATTAATTGGCTCATTCGCTCAACTTGACTTGGGTCAGGCTCATAAGCTTGGTAGGCTTGAATGAACGGTGCTAGAGATGGTGGAGGCGGTGACGGCCACATTGGATCATCATAGATGTGCTCTTCTTTGATCAGTGGCGGCATAACAACTTGGATCTCAAAAGGTGTAGACTCTTGAACCTCATCTTGTGATTCCTCATCATTGATGAACACTTCTTGAGTCTCTTCCTCAATTGAATCATCCTCATTGCACAAATCCAAGTTCCTCCTACTTGTACTCAGCTCCTCACGGTGGCTTTCACACATGTTGGTGACTTGTGAGTCCCTTATTGCCACCATCCTTGTCATGGCTTCAATTGGATCATTTGAAGACTACTTCATTCTTGAAAACTCCACTTGAAGTCGGGCAAGCTCGTCTTGTACGTTACGAAGGGTCTTCATCCTCTCCAACTTCTCTCTACTTAGCCTTGTCTCCTCTACGAATTGGGCAAGAATCCCTTGAAGGTCTAGAGAAGACTCCGCTTGCTGAGGTTGAGTGTCATACCATGGCTCAAAAAAGTTAGAATTCTCTTCCCAACCTTGGTTGTTTGGAGAATGATTCCAACACCAATTGTCATAATCGGCCATGTCTTCCAAAAACCAATACACTTCATCTGCCGATAATTGGTAGAGAGAGGTGGTACCATTTCCTCTTTCCACCCAAGTTCGTGTTGCGGCGTTTAACCCATCGAGGAAGTTTTGTAGTTGACACTCTTTTGAGAGACCATGCTCCACTCTTTCAAGAGACCATGCTCGGGGAGCCCAATGAGCAATTTCTTATATCTATCCCAAGCACTATAAAATGACTCAGAGTCTCGTTGAGCAAATCATAAGAGGACTTGTCAATTAACCATCTCTAAGTACCTCGTAAAACAAAAGAAAACAAAAATAAAAAAAGATTAAAAATGAGAAATAAGGGCCTAAATTAAAATCAAGTTATTTACTCACAATATTAACAACAATTTAAAACGCCAATCCGGGCAACGGCGCAAAAAACTTGATACGTAAATTTTTGTTTTATAAATTTTATTTCCGCAAGCATACGGTGTCAAGTTTTGAGTATATGGTGAGTGAGTATCGTCTCCATAGGGATTGGGTTTAGAATTGCTGTTAAGTACCGCAATTATCGTAACTTAACTTTATCTAGGCAACCTAATAAAATGATAAGTAAGAGCAAAAACAAAATAAATATAAAAATAAAAATAAAATATCTATACACAAATGGTCTAGGGACTTGATTTCGCTTTATTATTCCTATGTTCATCCTATTATGTAATCGCTAATCAATTCTGTTTAATTCATTAATCCAGGTGAGTGCCTCATAAGGAACTATATTTAAATACCCAAAACAATATCCCTATTCGAAATGGATATTTAAACACAAATTAAGCTTCGCCTTTAGAATTAGAAAATAGGAATATTGATCGCCTCCCGACCTTACAACGACCTAAATCCTAATTTGATTATCTAACCGTTGATCTCCTCCCAGTCTCACAACAACCTACACTATGTTTCTCAAATCTACATAAAGAACTCAATCTCTCCTGAGCATCAAATTCGCAATCTAAAAATCATCTAACTCATTGGCCAAATAAATTAGAAGCATTAAGCATAGAGAAACATAAATGAATTGAAAACGAAATTAAATTAACAATTAACAAAATATTAAAAACATAGTACAAATAAAACTTCATCAAGTCCTAGATCTAAAGTCTAGCTCAACATGGAAAAATAGATGAAAGAAGATAAAACCCAAAATCCATTGAAGAGCTTCCCAATGACCTCCAAGATGAAGGATTTCGGCCTCCTTCTGATGTTTTCTTCAGTTTTCCGGGGATCCCCCTCTCAAGTGGCATCTCTTTCCTTTTATACTACTCAATTTCAGAGCTAGGGCTTTAGACACACGCTGCAGCCTGTGTGAAAACGTGCTGCAGTGCGTGGGGCCTGGAAACAGGCGCGCTGTAGCCTGCGTGAAAATGTGCTGCAGCGCGCGGGGGGACCTGGAAACAGGCGTGCTGCAACGCGCGTGGGCCTAGAAATAGGCGCGCTAAAAAAAAGCAGCCCGCTTTCTTACATTCTAAAGCCTCCTCTTTTGTGCCTTAAAATCCTCTTTCGCCTCCTCTTGCCATTGATTCACAAGTTGGGCAAATATTCTTCTTTTCTTCATGCAAAATCATCCAAATTCACATTTATTTATAATTCCTATAAAAAGCATACACAAGACATTAAACTAACAAAAATGCTTGAAAACTTACAAATATTCAAGCTTAAAAGTACTTGATTTGTTGGTAGAAATACCCGTCATCATTTGTACCACATCAAGAAACTTCATGGTGCAAGAGATGTTAAACTTCACTCCCTCTTCATTCACCCGAAGAGTTATGTTTCCACTATGGTAATCAATGAGAGCTCTCCTGATAGCAAGGATTGGTCGACCAAGAATGATGGGAATTTCCCGGTTGTCCTCCATATCGAGCACAACAAAATCCACCGGGAAGATGAATTTGTCAACCTTGACCAACACATCATCAATAATGCCTCATGGAGAGGTTAGTGATCTATACGCCAATTGCAATCAAATGGTCATTGGCTTGACTACACTGAGACTTTCTAGAATACGGAGAGTGGCATAAGGTTAATGCTCGCACCAAGGTCACACAAAGCCTTCTCAAATGATGAATCCCCAATGGTGCATGGAATAGTAAAGCTCCCGGGATCCTTCAACTTGTGAGGCAACTTTTGTTGAAGGACCGCGCTACACTTTTCCGTTAGCTTAACAGTTTCATAATCCTCCAATCTTCACTTCTTTACCATAACTTCCTTCAAGAATTTCCCATAACTGGGCATTTGCTCTAAAGCATCCGCAAATGGAATGTTGATGTGAATCTTCTTGAAGATCTCAAGGAGCTTAGAGAATTGAGTATCAAGTTTCTTCTTTTAGAACCTTTGTGGAAATGGAAATGGCGGTGTAATGATAGGGGGATTGTCTGGAAAAGAGATTGAATTAGGCTTGGCACTCTCTTTTGGTGGTTCCGGCGTAGATTTCTCCTTCTCAATTGTGTTCTCTAGGGGTTTGGAACTTTTCACTTCTTTACCACTCCTTAAAGTAATGGCGTTGCAATGATCCTTGGGATACCTTTCTATGTCACTTGGAAACCTCCCCTCTTGTTGAATCTTGAGAGAATTCACGAGTTGGCCAATTTGCACCCCTAGAGATTTCATAGTGGCATCCATATTGGTACAATGGGTCTCAATATTGTCAAGTCCTGCCTCATCCTTGTTGAATCTTCCTCTTGTTTCCACAATGAAAGTACTCAAAAGATCTTCCAATGAGGGCATCTTCTCAGCCATTAGTTGATTGAACCCCGGTGGTGGTTGTAGCACATTTCTTGTGTTGCCATAAGAGAAATTCTCATGATTGTGAAGTCTCAGATAATAATGAATAGGCAAGTTGTTGGGCGTGTTATCTCGGTAATTGAAATTTCAGTTGTTCACATATTGAACTTGCTCTTGATCACTTCCTTCACCAGTATAAGATGCACTAGCAACCATCACTGCCTCCTTGCTTGATGAGGTTTCTCTAGTAGTGAGCTCCTTAATTTGATTTGCCAGGGCCGAAACATGAGCCAAAAGAGAGACCATTGGGTCCACTTCATGAACACCTGTAGCTTTCTTCAAAATTGACCTCTCATTTGGGAACTGATAATTATTAGAGGCCATTTCCTCTAACAGGAGTTAAGCTTCTTCTGCAGTTTTAGACAACAACGAACCACTGGTCGTTGCATCAACAATGGTTCTAGTTTGCCCATTTAATCCATTGTAGAACAATTGGATTTGGAACCAGTCTTGGTAACCATGCCAAGGACATTTCTGAATGAGATCCTTGAACCACTCCCATGACTCATAAAGAGGCTCAAAATCCAACTGTTCAAATTGCGCAATCTCACTCTTCAACTGTGAAGTCTTCGAAGGAGGGAAGAACTCAGTGAGGAATTTTTGAGCCAAGTCTTCCCATGTAACAACACTACCAGGTGGCAAACCATGTAGCCATCCCCGCGCCTTGCCCTAAGAGAAAATGGGAACAAGTGTAACCGGATAATATCTTCACTCACTCTATTCATCTTTATAGTGTCTCAGATTTCTAGAAACATTGAAAGATGAACGTTAGGATCTTCTTATGGCAAACCCCCATACTGATTCTATTGCACCATACTAATAAGAGCCAGCTTCAACTCAAAATTGTTGGCATTGATTGTTTGGGGCTGGATCCCCTAATAATTGTCATTCACAACGGGCCTAAAATAATCCCGAAGAGCCCGTTGTTGATTATTGTTGTTGCCTTCTGCCATAACTTAAGGTCTGGCTTGTCTCTCCCTTCTTAATCCTTGAAGAGTTCTCTCTATTTCAAGATCAAAAGGTAATGAGTCCAAGCTTCGAGCCCTACGCAAAGACTATCAAGGCAACAATTAACAAAAAACAAATTAGTGAAATTAAAAAGAAAACAAAAGCCTAAGTTAGTTGGTAGCAATATTAGTACAATTTTCAAAAATATTCAATCCCCAGCAACGGTGCCAAAAACTTGTTGTTGAATTTTCGCAATACTCTCGCAAGTATACGAGGTCACAAAAGTAATAAAGTGAAAGTAGAGTATCGTCCATCAAAGATTGTGTTCCTGAAAATTAACTAAGTACTGCAACTACAATAACTCAAATTTTATCTAAGCAATGCCAATTGTAGAATTCAAACTAAAATTAACAAATAAATTAAATTCGAAAAAGGCAATTCAAAATGCAATTTAGAGACAAGGATTGAAGGGAACCCTGATGATAAATGAAGGCTAGGGGGTTTTAATCTCACTTAACTTGACTATGTTTATCCAACTTGATAACTTCTTGATCAATTTCATTCAAATCATTAATCCTAGGTTACCTACTTTAATTTCGCTCTCTCTCCCGAGTACTAAGTAAAATAATATGCAGAACCAACCAAATTAATATCCCTATTAACTTAATTAATTAAGCATTCATTAAGCACAACCTATTGTAGTGATTACCCAAGTTATATTGGCCTCCCGAACTCAATATTACTAGAGGTTGTGTTTCCCAAATCTCAATGTGTGAAAATGACTTTCTCAAGACTAAATCCACACATCTAAAATCTCTAATTCATTAGATAAACGAATTTGAACAAATACCATAGAGAAACACAAATGACTTGAGATAAAATTCAATCAACAAACAATATAGTCTTCAAAACATAGTAAATATCAAGCTACATCATACCCCCTAGCTTAAAGGTTTAGCTAGAGCAAGACATCAAAAATTCCACAACTAAATACATGAACAAACCAAGATCCCAATTCATCATTCAATCACAAATCCAAGAAAGTAACTCAAATTCAAAAGCTAAATAAGATAGAGAGAGATTGTAGAACTAGATGCCACAGAGCTCCACCATCTTCAATCCCTCCTTGGATCTTCAAGCAAGCCTTCAATTCTTAGTATTCTCTTTTTTGGGTACTGGTTTTTCTGTCTCAAAAATTGCCCCTCTCCATCTTCATAGTTCTAAGGTCGTTTTCTATTTATACCTGCCCCCAAATTAGTGTAAAATGAGACCTAAGTTTACATTAGCACGTGAAAACTGGCTGCAGCGGGAAAAATCCCACTGCAAGTCGTCAAGGAAGCTTAGGGTTTCATGGACTTCTATTGCAGCTGAATTAAACCTGCTGCACTGGGTTAGCTATTTTCACATCCTCTTTTTGCTCAATCAGCTATAGCCGAAAGAATCTCGCTGTAGTTAAAATTCCAAGTGCTCACTACCTCAAATTTGGCTGCAGCCAAAATTCACTAAAGATTCTGGCTGCAGCTGGAAATTTCTGGCTACAATCAGAATGTAGCTCTTTTGCTTCTCAAAATGCTTGGTTTGAACCATTTATTTCTTTGAACTAAAAACCTACAATACGAAATCAAAACATAATAAAACCACTATAAAACATCAAAAACCAACAAAATTACTAAGAATTAAAACTTAGTTAAATCAAGTTATATTTAATGGTATTCATCGATAATCAGATCCTCAACCATTTCAAGAGGAAGCACCTTGATATTGACCCTTCTTTCCCCGATGAGTCTGACGAGGATGAAGTTGAGGGAGCTGAGCTTTCTAATGCAGTCTAGCCAGCTGACCAAAGGGAGCAAGTGCCGAGAAGTGGAGATATGTTGGGAAGTGGATATGTGGGAAATGGCGTTGAGTAGTAAAAGTTTTTGTTTTATTTTGTAACGGCTATAAAGCCAATGCAATCTTTGGTTTTGTAGCAACCATAAGGTCGAGACAAGTTTTATTTTTCTTCTATGATATGCATCTTTTCATCTCTTTTTTTATACTCGTCCGCGTATTATATATATGTATATTTTTTTTTCTTTCTCAACGCTTGCGTAATAACTGCTAAGCCCAGGAAACAAATTTTTTGCCCAAGTGTTTGGGAAAATTTTCACAAATTTTTGCTAAGTCTTGGCATGCCAGGGCTTGCCTTATATTTTACTTATCGGGTCAGCCATGGCCTCTTTGCCCCTGTAAAAGATAGGTCTGTCATGTTTTTGACAGTTTATAATAGTTGTCAATAGATAACATGTTGATAATTGCCAATACAGAATAATTCAAACAGGAAGTAGTCGAGAATTGAGTATAATCACTTGAAGTTTTTCGATAATGTAGAGTCTTATAAGTTGAGGTTTCTAAGCCTGCAAAAAATAAATCAGACAAACAAAAATAGTTTTTATCCTATCTTCTAAACCTACCTACATAACTATAACTCCAAATATTGGTAGTAAGCTTTTAACTGGTCGGCGTTCCACGTATGTTTAATATCTCGACCATCTAGCTCTACTAGTCGATAGGATCCATTTGCCATGACTTCTCTAATTTTGTAAGGGCCTTCCCAAGTTGGTCCCAAGGCTCCAAAGTTTTTGTGCTTGGTATTTAGGGTCACAACTCGAAGGATGAGATCTCCTACCTTGAATTTTCTCTGCTTGACTTGACCCTTCTGTCATAGGAGCGAGCGATCCTTGCCTGATACGTAGCGAGCCTTAGCTGTGCGTCTATGCGCCTTTCTTCCAACAGGTCAAGCTCCATGCCCATGCGCTCTAGATTTTCAACCTCATCGTATCTTATCACTCGAGTAGTGGGAAGAGATATTTTGACCAGTAGAACCGCTTCAACTCCATGGGCCATGGAGAAAGGGATTTCTGCAGTTGTAGTTCTGCTCGTCATCTTATACGCCCATAGGACTTTTAGCAACTCATCAACCCACTTTCCTTTATACATGTCGAGTCGACACTTTAAGGTAACCTTAATTATTTTATTAACTACTTCAACCTGGCCATTGGACTGAGGATATATTATAGAGAAGAAATTCTTTTGGATTCCTAAAAGGTCGTAAAATTGATCGGTGTTGTCATTGTAAACTATCTCCCATTATTTGATACGAGAGAGTGAGGTACACCAAATCAGCATACTATGTTGTTTCATATAAAGTTTGTACACTTCTCCTCTGATATTGTCGTCAAGAGCTCAGCCTCAACCCATTTCGTGTAGTATTCAACTGCTACGGTGGTGAATTTCTGTCCCCCTAGGCTTCTATGTAGTGGACCAGTTATATCAATCCCCCACTTGGCAAACGGCCAGGGTGCAACTATTGAAGTTAGGTCCTCCGAATGAAGTCGAGGAATGAGGGCATACCTTTGGCAGCTATCGTATTTCTTTGTGTATTCGCCTGCATCTTTCTTGAGGTTAGGCCAGTAGTATCCCTATCCCAAAACCTTATAGGCTAAGGACTACCCCCTAGCCTGGTTACCGTAAATCCCGTCGTATATTTCTGAGAGTAGTCTTCTCGCCTCCTCCTTATCAAGGCATCTGAGTAAGGGTGTTGAGTATCCTCTTCGGTATAGGGTATTGTCGTGGAGTGTATACCTCAATGCTTAGTATTTTAACCGTTTAGCATGCTGCCTATCCTTAGTGCTGAAACTTTATATAGGCCGCCCGCGACCACCGAAAAGTCAGAATTTTTGCCCGAATACCAAACCCAAACTGCCTGAAAATTTGGGCTGCCCGACCCGACCTGAATTTCACCATGGATGGGCTTCGGGCAAGAGGTGCCTACCCGTGCCCGATCGGGCTGTCCGATGCCTGACCGGCTGCCTGAATTTTTAAAATTTTTTTATATTATATTTTTATATTGTATAATTTGTATTTGTATAATTATAATGTGTCCAATTTGAAATTTGAAATGAACACACGAACTATATAAAAAAAAAATTATTTCTTCATTGATTTTTAAATTTGTAATTCATGATTGTCTCGTTAAAAACCTTACCAAGAAAAACTTAATTGGGATAAAAACTTGGTAAGGAAAAAAGAGTGCAATCATTGTGGGGCGAATTACAAATTTGACGAACTCACAAAGTCTATACAAGATTACAATAACACTATATAAATTAGAAATTACAAAGTAAATAAATATTTACAAATTACAATAATAAATTTAATTTGAAGCAGAAGGATCGTCTTGAAAATCAAAAATAAATTTATTACACTCGTCGATCTATTCTTGGCTTGCCGGTGAGATTGTATCATGTAAGCATTGGTCGTAATGATCCCAATCCTTGATGTACACCAAAGCTTCAACAATATCTTGTTGCAATGCGTTTCTCCATTCTTCAAGTATTCGGCCGGTTGTACTGAATGCTTGTTTGGCTGCAACAGTGGAGACCGGGATTGAAAAAATATCCATTGCCAGTCGTGTTAGGATCAACCAAGTTAATGCTCGTGCCCTCCACCACTGAACCAAATCAAACATTTCACTACTGTCTACAACTAAGCACTCACTCAGGTACGCCATTAACTTATTAAATCCGCTGCTGTTGCTGCCACCTCTTGACGAAGATCCACTCTCAGATTCT